AAAAGTTTGAGCAAGTCGGGTTTAAAAATTCTGACATACCATGTGATCAAACAAAATTGTGATCTAAAAATAGCAATGATAGCTATGTAACTGTTTTAGAAATTTTAGATCTCTTAACAAATTAAACCAATCATTTACGTGCATATATTGCTTTAAAAATTGATTAGTAGTGAAAGTTTTCTAAATAAATACAGTTAAGTTTATATGCTAAAATTACAGCATGTTAAAATTATAGGGCGAAAGATTCGCAATAGTTTCTCAGTCGAGCAAAAGAAAGAATTGGAACATTTCTCGCCTTACTAATCTGCTTTTACAATAATTTTCAGTGGCTTAAGACTTTTTTTTTTAAACTCTAGTGAATGAGTTCATAACTACTATTAACAGAAAAATACTAGTAAACTTATTGAACTGCGTTTAAACTACCAGTAGCGAAGATTCTTTTTACTTAGTTATAAAATTGCTAGTAATGAAAAAGTGGGATCAAAATTACTGAGTTTTTTTTGAATTCTATTAGATTGAGTTTATAACTACAAGAAGTGAAAGTTTTCTCCAGAATCTAGCTTTGGATTCAAAGCTACTAGTAACAAAAGGGCAGATTCAAAATTAGCAGTAAAGATCTTTTTTTTAATTCTATTGGAATGGAGTCATAACTACCCGTAACAAGATCTTCTTTAAGTTTTAGCCTGAGTTCAAAACTACCAGAAACGAAAGACATTTCTAGATTCTAGCCTTGGGTTTAAGACTACCAGTAACACTATCAGTAGCAAAGGTTTTTTTTAAGTTCAGTCCTTGGATTCAAAACCACCAGCAATGATAGTAAATATTTCTTTAATGGATTGGGTTCATAATTACTACTTCTTTAAGTTCTAATTTTGGTTCAAACAAAAGGGTGTATTCAAAAATAGTGGTAAGGATTTTTTTTTCAAAATTCTATTGGACTGGTTTATAAACCAGTAGTAAAAGTCTTTTTTAGATTCTAACCTTGGGTTCTAATTATCAGTAATGAGAATGTAGGTTTAAAACTATTGGTAAAGTTTTTTTAAAGTTTTATTGGATTGGTTCATAACTATCAGTAAAGAGAATCTTTAGATTTTAGCCTCAGATTTCAAACTGCCAGCAATAAAAGGGCAGGTTCATAACTATCAGTAACAAAAATTTTTAGATTCTAGCATTGGATTCAAAACTACTAGCACCAAAAGAGTGGGTTATAACTACCAGTAATAAAAACCTTTAGATTCTAGCCTTAGATTCAAAACTACTGGCAATGAAAGGGCAGGTTTGAAACTACTAATAATAGAGAATTGGTTCAAAGCTGCTGGCAAAGATTTTTTTTTTTTAATAAAAAAAAAAAATTCTATTGGATTATGCTTATAATTACTAGTAGCAAAAGTCTTTTTTAGGTTCTAATTTTGGGTTCAAAACTATCAGTAATGAAAGGTTGGGTTTAAAAATAGTGGTAAAAATTTTTTTAAAAAATTCTATTAGACTGGTTTATAACTACTAGTAGCAAAAGTCTTTTTTAAGTTCTAACCTTGGGCTCTAAATTATCAGTACTGAGAGTGTAGATTCAAAACTATTGATAAAGATTTTTTAAATTTTATTGGATTGGTTCATAACTATTAGTAAAGAGGATCTTTTGATTTTAGCCTTGGATTCAAACTACTAGCAATAAAAGGATAGGTTCATAATACTAGTAACGAAAATCTTTAGATTCTAGCATTTGATTCAAAACTACTAGCAACAAGAGAGTGAATTCATAACTACCAGTAATGAAAATCTTTAGATTCTATCCTTAGACTCAAAACTACTGGCAATTAAAGAGCAGTTAGATTGGGGTTTATAACTATTAGTAGCGAAGGTCTTCTTTAAGTTCTAGCCTTGGATTCAAAACTACCAATAATGAAAGGTGTTCAACTACTAATAATGAAAGGTTAGATTCAAAACTAAGTTTTTTTTTTAAAAAAAATTGGATTGGATTCATGATTACCAATAACAAAGGTTTTTTTAGATCCTAGTGGATCAAAACAGCCAGTAACAAAGGATTGATTCAAAACTACCGGTAAAGAATTGTTTTTTTTTTAAAAAAAACAATTATATTAGATTGAGTTTGTAATTAGTAACAAAGGTCTTCTTTAGATTTTAGTTTTGAGTTTAAAACTACCAGTAATAAAAAGATAGGTTTAAAACTACTGGTAAAAATTTTTTTAAATTCTATTGGATTGGGTTCATACTATCAGTAACAAAGATTTTTTAACAAAAGGGCAGGTTCAAAACTACTCCTAACAAAAGATTGGTTTAAAACTAGAGATAGGTTTTATGCATGCACATGATTGAGGAATTATGTGCATAATATCATTTTATGTGTGTTTTATTCTATCAAAATTTCTCTCCACTTGATCATTTTTGTCTTTTTTTATCATGCATATAAAACAATTTGTATACATTAATGTGCATTCATGCGTATTTTATTATAAATGTGTATTTTCCTCATCTTTATTTAAAACTACTAGTAAAAATTTGTTTTTTAATAAAAATTTTCATTGGATTGGATTTATAACTACTAATAATAAAGATTTTAGTCTTGGGTTTAAAATTATTAGTAATAAAAAAGTAGATTTAAGCTATTGGTAGTATTTATTGATAGTATTTAATTAATTTTTTGCATTAGGTTATATTGCATAGTTTTATAGTATTTTTTAAAAAAATAAAAATACAATATTTAATTAGATTGGTTTAAATATTATTAGTTATTAATATTTAGTAATTGTTAGACTATACAAACTTAATAAATTAGTTTTTATAATATAAAATTTTTAAAAATAATTTTGCATTTGGTTTTATTTATTGTTAAAAAAAACTTATTTGAATAGTAAGTATATTTAAATTTTTTTAATTTTGTAAATTTTGACCCAGTTAGATTATAAAAATTGATTTATTAAGTTTGTATAATCTTAATAAAGTTTTAATTTTAAATTTAAAATTTAATAATAAAGAATTAGATTTAAAATTATTTATCTTAAGTTTATAATTAATAATTATAAAAAATAAATTTATTTAGATTTTACTGATCTAGTAACAATAGGCATTGGACAAAGATCATTTTTTTTGTCAGGATTTTGTATATGATTTCTTATCTGATCATATAAATACCATTGTCTTTCTGCACTAAGACCAGGTAATTTTTTTTCAACTAATTGGTTAAAATTTTCTTTTTGTCTAATTTTTTGAATTTGAATTCTTGTTTTTTTCTATCTAAAGAAGTACTAATTTTAACTTTACCCTGTTGTAAGCTATTAAATTCAAAATAATGTTGTTTCAATATATCTGGTATTGTTGTAAATTGTTGTTTTAACCAATTAGTCCATTCATAAAAATGTACAACTTGATTTCTATTATTATCAAAAACTGTTTGTGCTATATTAAATCCACCTGGTGTTGAATTTTCTACAATTTTAACTAAATTATCAAAATTATCTGCTTCAGATTTTCTTAAATATAATTTTATAAGTCCAAAAAATCTATCAGGACTAAATTTAGTATAACCTGCAATCATAAAACAATAGGTAATACTATCATGTAATCCTGTTAAAACTCTCTAAGCTAAATATGCTATCATTGTATTATTTTTGTTTTGTCTAGCACAATTATCTGCATGAATTATTAATCTTTTTTCTCCTAAACCATATAATTCAAAATAATTATGAACTAAAGAAATAACGGTATCTGCACCTTTACCAACTAATTCACTTTCTTTAATAAGATAATTTATCTATAAAAATTTATATAAAAATTCTTTTAATAAAAATATTAATATTTATTATAGATTATAATAAAATTAAAATAAAATTAAAATATTTATTTGATTTTTATTTTAATTTATATAATATCTACTTGACGTAGAAAAGTATTATCACATATTCCAAATAAATGAACTTTATATAAAGATTTAAAATAAATTTTACACTAATAAAATTAATTTAAATTAATATATAATATATATTATTTAATCTAATAATTAAAAATTAATTTACTTCTTGTTGTGATGAATATGGTAATTGAATTTGTTGTGCATAATCCCAAGAAAGATGAATTGTAATATCTAATGAATTTGGTTTTTCAGGATATATTAAATTGTTAATTCCAAAATTTTAAACATCTTTATGTGCTATTTTAATCTATTTTCTAATATAAAAATAAAAAATTAATAGTTTTTAATAAAATAAAATTATTAAATTACTTACTTATAATTTTTTCTTTCTTTATATGCCTATTCAATATGTTTATGCCACTCTAAGACTTTAATATCTTTTTCTTCAATAGACTAATAATTAGTATTAAATCTCATATCTTTATATTTTAAACATAAATCACTATGTGGTGTTAATTTTTTAATTTGTGGTAAAAATTTTTTCCAAATTTTATAAAATGTTGCTAATCTAACTTCAAATTGATGATTTTTTCCAATAGCTTCCAAATATTGAGTATGTAAAAATGAATATGAAATATCTGTAGGCAAATATATAATTGCAATAATATTATCACGAAAACTTTGTTCTATAAAAAAATTATATAAATTAATAATAATTAATTAATAAAAATTAATTTAAATAATACCTGGAGAAGGTAAACCATTTTGTTTAGCATAATTTCCAATAAAAGTAATAATTTCATAACTATTTTAAATGATAATACTCTATTTCTAATTTTTCTAGTTTTTGAATTAATTCGTAAAATAATATCATAATTAGTAAAATGTTCTCATAAATTTTTCTATCTTTTATCACCAATTCCATAAATTATTTTAAAAGCATTAAAACAAATTGGTTTTCCTTCAAAACCGTATTCTGTAGTAAGTTTTGATTTTTTTAAATTATTTCTAGATACTTTAACCATTTAGTAGCAGCAATAATATCTAATAAATACATATCTTGAAAAGATTTAGCAAGATTTCTAAAATTTAAATTTCAAGTAAAAGCAACTGAATAATCACAATTAGATTGTAAACAATTTTTTTCACAACAACCTTTTTCATATAATTCTTTAAAATCATTATTTTGTAATAAACTTATTTCTTCTTCAAATTTTGGATCATCATCTTGTTTTTCTAAAATATTTTTTGTTTTATAATATAATAATTCAAATTTTGTAATTTCTTCCTCAGTCCATATTTCATTTTCTAAAAAATTAATTTCTATATCTTCAATAATTTCAGATGTTTCAGATAAAGATAAATTATTGTCTGTAGTTGAAAATTGAAATTGTAAATTTGAAAGATCTAATTGTAATTGAGCATTTTCTATATGTAATTCTTCAAAAAATTTGATTTAAAGAAAAGGTAGACATTTTTGTAAAAAAAAATTTTAAAAATTAAAATTTAAATAAATTTGTTTTATATATAAATTTAATAATAAATAAATAAAAACAATAGTTATGCAATTTATACAATAAATAAAAATAAAAACAATATTTATATAATTTATTTAAATTTGTATTATCTTTAACATCATTAAAACAATACTAATTTATATAAATTATAAATATTACTATACAAAATTTTTTTATTAATAATAACGGGAATAATAATACAAATATAATGTATATTTAATGATTTAAATATTATATACAAATTTAGAATAGCATATCTTTATTTAGTTTAGTAATTTTTATATACTATTGATGCATAAAATTTGCTAACTAAAAAAATACATATTTTACATAATTTACACAATATAAAATTTTCGATCAATACAATCAAAAGATTTAAATTTTTTTTACATGATTTATACAATATAACCTAAACTGGTAATTTGAACCCAAGGTTAGGACTTAAAGAAAACCTTCATTACTATAGTTATGAATCTAATTCAATAGAATTTAAACTATTACCGCAAATCTTTCTTTATCTACTTCAATATTTCTAAAATTATCATAATTTATCTATTGAAAATACTTATTATATTTATATTCATGTTCAGTAACTGCAGATTTTAAATACCATTCAAAGTCAAATCTTTATTCTTTTCTACACCAATTCCTTTTTGACAGCACAGACCAACACCATGCATTCCAATAGTTTTGAATAACCCAAGGGTAGAACCAAAAAAAAATTGTTATTAATAGTTATGAACCCAATCTTATAAAATTTAAAAAAATTTTTACTTAGAAGTTTTGAACTGCCCCTCTATTACTGGTAGTTTGAACCCAATCCTTCATTACTGATAGTTTGAACCCAAGGCTAGAACCTAAAGAAGACTTTTGTTACTGGTAGTTATGAACCCAATTTAATAAAAAAAAGGAGATTTTTGCAGGTAGGCTTGAATCCAATCCTTCGTTACTAGTAGTTTAAACCTGCCTTTGTTACTAGTAGTTTTGAATTCAAGGTTAGAATCTAAAAATCTTCGTACTGATAGTATAAACCCAATCCAATAATTTAAATAATTACTGATAGTTTGAGCAACCCAAGGCTAGAACCTAAAAAAAGAATTTGTTATTGATAGTTATGAACCCAATCCAATAGAATTTAAAAAAACTTTTACCTGAAGGTTTGAACTGCACTTCTATTACCGGTAGTTTGAACCCAAGGCTAGAATCTAAAGAAAGCCTTCATTACTAGTAGTTATGAACCCAATCTAATAAAAAAAAGAGATTATTACAGGTAGGTTTGAACCCAATTCTTCATTACTGGTAGTTTGAACCTGTCCTTTTGTTACCGGTAGTTTTGAATCCAAGGCTAGAACCTAAAGACCTGCCCTTTTGTTTCTGGTGATTTTGAATTCAAGGTTAGAACCTAAAAATCTTCATTACTGATAGTATAAACCCAATCCAATAGAATTTAAATTATTACTGGTAGTTTTTAACAACCCAAGGCTAGAACCTAAAAAATAATTGTTATTGATAGTTATGAACCAATACAATGAAATTTAAAAAAATTTTACCTGAAGTTTTGAATTGCCTTTCCATTACAGGTAGTTTTGAACCTAATCTTTGTTTCTGATAATATGAACCCAAGGCTAAAACCCAAAGAAAGCCTTCATTACTAGTAGTTATAAACCAAATCTAATGAAAAAAAGATCTTTACTGGTAGGTTTGAACCCAATCCTTCGTTACTAGTAGTTTGAACTTGCCCTTTTGTTATTAGTAGTTTTGAATCCAAGACTAGAACTTAAAACTTGTTACCGGAGGTTTTGAATTCAAGGCTAGAATCTAAAAATCTTCATTACTAGTAGTATGAACACAATCTAATATAATTTTTAAAAAAAAAATTTGTTACCAGTAGTTTGAACCTTTATTACTGATAGTTATGAACCTAAATCAATAAAATTTTAAAAAATAAAATCTTTACTGAACCCACTCTTTCATTCTAATAGTTTTGAACCCAAGACTAGAATCTAAAAAAGATCTTCATTACTAGTAATTATGAACCTAATCCAAAAGATTTTTTTTTTTTTAAAAAAAAAAAAAGATCTTTGCTGGTAGTTTTGAACCCAATTTTTCGTTATTGGTAGTTTTGAACTGCCTTTGTTACTGGTAGTTTTGAACACAAGACTAAAATCTAAAGACCTTTAAAAAAAAAGAAAGAACTTTATTGATGGTTTTGAATCCAATTCCTCATGACTGGTAGTTATGAACCTGTGAATCTAAGGCTAGAACCTAAAGAAACTAGTAGTTATAAACTCAATCCAATGGAATGTTTTTTTTTAAAAAAAAAAATCTTACTATAGTTTTAAACCCAACTTTTAGTTATTAGTAGTTTGAACCACCTTTTTGTTTCTAATAGTTTTGAATTCAAGACTAGAATCTAAAGAAGACCTTTATTACTGGTAATTATAAACTCAATACAATGGAATTTTTTTTTTAAAAAAAAATCTATCGTAGTTTTAAACCTAATTCTTCATTACTGGTATTTTGAACCCACTCTTTTATTATTAATAGTTTTGAATCCAAGGCTAGAACCTAAAGACACCTTTGTTACTGGTAGTTAAGAACTTAATCTAATAGATTTTTTTTTTAAAAAAAAAATCTTTTTTGTAGTTTTGAACCCAATCCTTCATTACTAGTAGTTTGAACCCACCCTTTTGCTACTAACATTTATGAATCCAAGGCTAGAACCTAAAGAAGTTCTTTGTTATTAGTAGTTATGAACTCAATTCAATAGATTTTTTTTAAAAAAAAATCTAATGGTGTGGTGACATAGTGCAGTTGGCAAGTTGTCACCCCCC